TCGTTTCCAACGTGTGAACGTTGCTTCGTCTCTTGCGCGTAATGCGTGAACCATTTTTGGACAGAACTGCCACTGGTGATGAAAAATGGATTATCTATGCAAATATTAAACGCCAAAAACAATGGCTCAGTCCTGGACAAAAACCACTTCCAACCCCAAAACCTGGAGTCCATCTGCAGAAAGTGATGCTTTGCATTAGGTGGGACATCAAAGGAGTAATTCATTTCGAACTCCTCAATCCACAGCGAACTGCCAATGCAGAGATCTACAGTCAACAACTGGGAAGTTTAAATCAAGCCTTTCATCAGAAACGCCCTTCACTCGTCAATCGGAAAGGTGTTCTTCTACACGACAATGCACGTCCACATGTGGCACGTTTGACGCAACACAAGATTATGGAGTTGGGTTGGGGAAGTTCTCCCCCACCCACCATATTCTCCAGATATGGCAACATCAGATTACCATCTTTTTTGTTCGCTGCAACACAATCTCAATGAGAAAACTTATGCAAATATGGAAGGCTTGAAAGAGGACATCGACATGTGTTTTGCTTCAAAACCAAGTGATTTCTTTAATCAGGGTATTAACAACCTGATTGTAAGATGGAAAAACATCATCGATAAGAATATTCTATTTCATTTAATAAATGTTTTGTTTTGATACATAAGTTGTTGGGTTTTTTCATCTAAAAAAAGCGATATTAATTTCTTGACGACCTAATAGTTAGAGACAATAGAAGAGCTTGATCGATACATTCGGACCTCTGTGAATCATGAGGGGGGGGGGTCTTGGGTCCCCGCAGCAAAATGCGAGTATTTTCTATAAGTCAAACTAAATCAGGAATTGTAACTTGTAACATCTCTGACTTTTTTACTTCTGTCCATTACATTCAGCATTTTTTTGTTATTGTATAATCCCACAATGTTTTACTTGTCGTTGATCGATAACAACCAGGTTTTGTTGACCAAATTTTCAACCTGCATGAACAGCATTTTATGCGACGCATGGGCTTAAACGGTTAAGTCGGGGGCCCTAAGGATTAGATATAGCCATGCCTAATTTAGGAAGGTAACCGGTCAGCAGCACTTGACGCTTATTATTCGGCTAATCCTAACCGAATAGCGTATTGACTGTCACATATATAACAGCGACTAGTCGCTTATCATTCGGCTAATCCTAACCGAATAGCGTATTGACTGTCACATATATAACAGCGACTAGTCGCTTATCATTCGGCTAATCCTAACCGAATAGCGTATTGACTGTCACATATATAACACCCACTCGTCGCTTATTATTTGGCTAACCCTTACCGAATAGCGTAATGACTGTCACATATGTAACACCCACTCGACGCTTATTATTCGGCTAACCCTTACCGAATAGTGTATTGACTGTCGCATGTATAACGCTCCACAGCTGAATGTACCAAACGTGTTCAGCGGCATATTGCAACTCGAACTTTGGACCTTCCGAAACGCAATCCACCCTAGTAAATCGGTAAGCCTCCCCTGACTCAAAGGTAAGAAATCAGACACTGTAAATTATTTTTTATCCTTTCACCAAATTCGATAGAAAATAACTAAAGCCAAAATAGTAATATATTTTTAGTTCTGCTAGTGGCAGTGGTTTTATACGCTAACTTTTATTAAGTGAGGTTTTCTAGTTGAGAAAAAAAAATATTTGTAAATAATTGTTGATAATGTTATTAGCAAAGCAAATATTTAACGTTTTTTATATCATTTTGCAACAAGCCTGATTAGAGAACCAGTATTCTGTGATAGTTTTACCGTAGCTTGTCATTTCGTATTCTTTTACACCTGCTGTACAGAAATGTCAAGAGTTGTGCCGATTGTTACGCTAGTACACTGGTCAACATTATATGGTTATAAGCGTCAGTGTTACAACAAACTTTTTTAAACATATTTACTAACTTTGCTGTATTGTAGTCCATTGAACCTGCATGTCTGTCTACAGCCGAGCAAATATTAGGAGCTGTTGGATGTTTCGAGTTAATACGGATGAACGCTTTAAATCACACCATTGTTGGATGTTTCGAGTTAATACGAATGAACGCTTTATATCACACAGGTGGAGAGAAAGTCGTCAGACACTAGAGTTGTCACATACAGTACATTACGTGTTACTTAATATTGTAATGAAATTTCCTGTTTTCTGGAAAACATTTTTTTTTTTTTACTCATACAATACTGTATGAAATAACACGCGAGTGGCTGTATGCTTAGTTGGAGCATTTACACCCAACCACCAAGTTTTAATCCTCCCTTGAAGCGTAAGATAGACGTGGTTTGTAAATGTTGTTTACACCTGATTAAACATAAAAAAGCGTATTTGTAAACGTAATAGTTTGCCAGAATGAGCGTTCGATTTAGTAACTTATAAACGTAGTTGTATGTATACATATTTCGATTAAATCTGTCAGGTAGTCTAGTGTTTATAGAGTTGAGCATAATAATAATAATAGCTTCCGATCAGAGTAGGTTGTGTACTTGAGCGCAACCAAAAATTAGCCCGACCAACAGTATAAATAATTAAATCAATTTTACGTACGTTTTTACCCATATTGCATTATTATTATGGTGTGAACCCCTTCTACAAAATGGCGAAGTATGATAATAATTTATTATATATGTCATAAGACATTAGTATCAGGTTTATTATATTCTAAGCACTACATTAGTCTTTTAGATATTTTCAAGAATTAGAAGGGTATATTATAATAGTATTTAAACCACACGATGTTGACCATATCCATTGCCAGCTTCTAATTCTTGAAAGTCAGTAAGGGACTAGATGGAGAATGTAGTGTTTAAAAATATAATAGGCCTAATACTAATGTCTTATGACAACAAGTATCATTAATTTAGATTGTATTGTTTCGTTAGTTTGGTACCCTCATTGTTAACGATATTTTCGGGCATAAACCCAATAATATCTCACGAAGTTCGACCAGCTTGGGAGGTTTAAATTTGTCCTAAATACAACGCAAAGCAATCGTAATTATAAAATTATAATAATGAATGACAAATTAAAATAAAAAATTACATTATACTAGAACTAATAAAATTGATGATTTGTACAAAGTCTTGATGGCAAATTCATGTCAATCAGAACGTGGGGAAGCTGTGCGTCGCCTTAATCTTCACGTTAACTGTTTTCTTAACGTCATTTATCGTCTATTTTTATGCTAGATTCTAAAACAAATTTTACTGCCACTGTGCTTGTTGTTTATACACATGGTTGAGTTAAATTGAATCCTAAACGAAAGCACAATGAAAGTTCATGTCTGACTATCAGGTATAACTCTCTTTCAAACCTGAGAAGAACGAACTGTTTACTTAGCCGACATTTCAGCTTAGCTTTCTTCATAGTAAATCATTTTAAATCATCTAGTTTCCTACAGTTTTAAACTGACATGTGGAGCTACCTAAAATCCAGAGATTTTATCTAGATTTATCTACTTTGTTGTGTGTGAACTTCTCGAGTGTGTGCTCTAATATTAAAGATATATACTGTAAAACGTTCTATTCTGAAGAAGGCGTAAGAGTGACTTTTGTTTTCTTGGCGTTGCTCTTTTTCTGAAGCTTTAGTCATTCTTACATACAAAATGAGTTCTTTACACAAAGTTGCATAAAAAAATGACACCATCAACCGGTTGGTGAATGTTAAGATAAGCTTTAATGTACTATTAGCAATACTCGAATGATTCTGTTCTAACGTATTTGTTATTTTCACACACACACTCAGCAATCGGTATTATATTATAGCTGCGTCACCTATTGTCGATTGTGATATCGACAGACTCGGAACGTTGTTTACACGTTCGTAAGCGAATAATCTACTAGAAGAAAAAATGGCGTGTCTGTTAAAAGTAAGCGATGGGAATGTGTAGCCTAATTTTCAACCTCCATATGCATCGTTAACATGATCGTTTTCTAATCATTCGAACAGTAAGAGTGAACATCGGATGTTGATGTGTTTTTATAAAAATGAGTATATTAGGATTGTATTTCCATCTAGTCGGACAGCTAAGACAGGACTGGGAAGACGCAAGAGAACGAGCGATGCAGCGAAAGAAAAAACTGGAAGGAATATCTGCTGATGGGCGAAGTTTTGAGGAAAAAAGGCGTGAAGTAGAAGCGTGGCTTGGACGTGCTGAATGTAGACTAGAAAAGCTGCCACCTGTCGGACAAACTCTAGACGTTTTGGAGGTTCAGTTGAAGGAGCAGAAAGTAAGTGGAATGTAGATGGATGGATGATAAATTGAACTTAGAAGATCAGTTAATTGTAATCATTTAGTTTTTTTTCCTTATATTAAATAAGAATGAAACTGTCGTGTTTTTTAGTGCATGGGATGTTAGACTTACGTCTATTTTTTGTTTTTAATAATATTGTGAGAAGATTAAAGATACAACTTAAACGTTGTTTTCAAATAAGGGTAGCCTAGTAAAAACGTATTTTTTTATAATTATGTGATGATAACAAAATGGATTTGAAAAGACTAAATATAAAGAGTTAAGGGAAGCGTGTAAAAACTGCATTTTAAAAATTGAATATTGCGAAAGAAAAAATAGATTTGGAAATTTCAATGTAAAAATGAAATTAGCCTAACAAAATAATTATATTTCAAACATAATTATAATACAACAAAAAGTGGATTTAGAAAATTGTAGTATTTGATACACTTGTTAATTCCACGTGCAAAATATTTCTTTTATTGTTATCTTCATTATTCAGTGTTCTACATACAGCAACAACAAATCAAGAAACCAGTTCAGTGTTTTTAAGCATTTAGAAAACAATGTGATGTTTGTTAGCTTTCAAATAAAAGACATTTTCAGTTGTTCAGATTGGGTTAGATCGAAGCGACGTTTGAGTATATCACACAATATACACTGTTAGTATCTTACGATATCACAGTAGATACTTCATTTGGGGTGGGTGGGAAAGCAGTGTCTTGTTGCATGTTTCTGTCCTTGAGTTGTTTATGTTACAGTGAGAGGCTCCAAAGGCTTTGACCCCTCTATGCACCAGTTTGACTCCTGTTAATCTGTTTTTATGTATTCTGGCGTGCTAAGAAGACACGACGAAGTATAGCTTGTTATTGAAAAGCAACACTTGTCAGTAATGACTTCTGCTACTGGATGGGGACGGGGAATATTCACAATAGTTACTTTAGTGATTGTATTAATTGTTTAACTGCACTTCAATACCTGGATAGAAATTAGCTTAACAGTTAAGTATTTGGAAACTACGTGTTTCGGAACATGGTAAAAAGTTCCAGATATATAGCGATTCTAGATATAGAAATACAGGTATTTGTTATTCGGATATGATTGTAGTGAATATTGTGTTGTTTT